AATAATAATAATAATAATAATAATAATAATAATAATAATAATAATAATAAGGGATGGTGGACATGCAGAAGAGAAAGAACAGGTGAAAATCCCCCCAAACACAAAGACTTGCAAATCAAAATAGAAGGACTGTGGCAAAAGAAAGCTCAGGTAGGACTAGGGTGGGATAGGTGCCTTGGGTTTAACCCTAAAACATCTGGGGCGTTCCTTGAACACTGCCGGCATTGACAAAATCCCCATCGGTCAATTGCAAGAGGCAGCTTGGCTTGGGACAGCTGAAACCCTACAAAAAACCCTTTAAACAACTGCCTATCCCCGGACAAGCGTGCTAAATCCAGTCGGAAACATCTGGATGGTTGTGCCACAAACCATAATGGATAGCAATTGAACACCGCCGGCATTGACAAACTCCCCATCGGTCAATTGCAAGAGGCAGCTTGGCTTGGGACAGCTGAAACCCTACAAAAAAACCCTTTAAACAACTGCCTATCCCTGGACAATCCAGTTGGAAACATCTGGATGGCTGTGCCACAAACCATCATGGATAGCAATTGAACACCGTCGGCATTGACAAACTCCCCATCGGTCAATTGCAAAAGGCAGCTGGATCCGGAGCAGCTGACATTTCGCAGCGATATTTTAAATATTATTTGCTAAAAACATGGGCCTGGCCTCCTCACCACCACCACCTCCTCCTCCTCCTCCTCCTTGGGGGAGTTGTCCTCATCGGGGGACGTTTCAAGCTTCATGCTGTCTTCCCCCTCGTTCTGGGCTTCGTGGAGAAGGATTTTCATGGCGATGGCCGCCGCTTCCTGCTTGGCCAGTTTTTTGCTGCCCGCTTCGGCTGGAGGGAAGTGACGGGTGTCAATCTTGGCTTGGAATTTAAACCTTGTTGGGAGAAGAGAGAGAAAAGAACGAGAAAGGAAGAGAATGAAAGAAAACGAGAGATAGAAAGCAAGAGAGAGAGAGAGTGAGAATGAAAAAGAATAAGAATGAAAGAAAAAATGAGGAAGAATGAGATAGAAAGAGAATGAAAGAAAATGAGAGATAGAAATAGAGAAAGAGAGAGCAAGAATGAAAGAGAATGAGAGGAAGAAAAAGAATGAGAGAGAGAAAGAGAGAAAATAAGATGCAAAGAGAATGAAAAAAAATGAGAAAAGGAGAAAGAGAGCAAGAAGAATGAAAGAAAAAGAATGAGAGAGAATGAAAGAGGGAATGTAAGAGACAAAGAGAAAGAAAATGAGAGATAGAAAGAAAAGCACATAGAAAGAGAGCAAGAATGAAAGAGAATGAGAGAAAGAAAAAGAATGACACAGAGAGAAAGAGAATGAAAGAGGGAAAATAAGAGACGAAGAATGAGAAAGAAAACGAGATAGAAAGAGAAAGACAGAGAAAGTGCAAGAATGAAAGAGCACGAGAGAGAGAAAGGAACAAGAGAATGGGGAAAAGAGAATGAAAGAGGGAGAGAGAAAATGAAAGAAAACGAGAGCAAGAGAGAGAGAGAATCGGCAGTGAGAAAAACAAGAAAACTTAAGGGGAATTCTGGTTTTAGAGACAGGCTACCACGTTTCTCTGTCTCTCTCTTTCTGTCTCTCTTTCTGTCTCTGTCTCTTTTTTTATCTGTCTCTCTGTCTTTCTCTCTCTGTGTCTGTTTCTGTCTCTTTCTGTGTCTGTTTCTGTCTCTTTCTGTCTCTGTTTCTCTCTTTCTGTCTTTCTCTCTGTTTCTCTCTTTCTGTCTTTCTCTCTCTGTCTCTTTCTCTTTTTCTGTCTCTCTCTGTCTCTGTCTGTCTGTCTGTCTCCCTCTCTCTCTCTGCAGGAAGGACCCTCTCCCCCCCTCATTCCCCCCCTCCTTACCGTGGCTCGTGCGACGGCCCGCTCTGCTTCAGCAAGACGAACTCGCAGTGCTGGTACATGTATTGCGTGTACTCGATCAGGCCGCTGACCGGGTTCTTCTTCTGGCAGGCCACCAGCTTCTCCAAGGGGGTGCACTGGAAGGCCGTGTCCAACTGGGTGGTGTAGCTGGGGTACAGGGGGGACTCCATCACGTATCTCGACTCGTCCTGGGTGCTGATGGCATTCAGGTCCTCGGGGATGTCGTCGGTGGCCCAGTGGCTGCTCTCGAGAAGGTCATAAGGGGAGAAGCGGCGGTAGCGGGAGCGCTTGCACGAGGGGCTCCACCACGGAGGGCAGGCCCCCCCACCGCCACTCGGCTCGATGGGCTCGGCGGCCTGCTGCCCGTTCTCGATTTTCTTCTCCTCGCTCTCCAGCAGCGGAGGCGGAGGGGGAGAAGGGTGAGGGGAGGGCACCTCGGCGGGGGCCTCCGGCTCGAGGCACGGGGCCGGGGGCTCGGAGTCCGGCGGGACCGCCTGCCGGACTTCCTCGGCTTTGACCTTGACCTGCATCCGTTTGCGCTTGTTGTCGGTGAGGGACCACCGGGGAGGGCTGGCGTTCTCCTTGTGCACCTCGCCCAGCTTCTCCAAGGCGAGGAGGGTGGCGTTGACATCCCTGGCTTTGGTCAAGCCAATGTTCTTGGCCAGGTTGAGCGCCGTGGAGTCTGTCACCCCGAAGAGGAAGCTGCAGATCTTCTCCTTGACTTCGGCCATGTCAGGGGAACCGACCGAGTCCTCCTGGTCAGAAGCGGAACTTCCTTCGTCGTCTTCTTCGGTCCCCAAGTCGAGAAGATGGCCGCAGTCCTTCTCCTGGCTGGCCGGACGTCCCTCTCGGCTTGCTTCCAAGCAGTCGCGGACGTCCGCTAGCCTCCACAATGGCGGGGTCGCCTCCGACCGACTCAGCCGCCCTTGGTGGCAGAGCTTGTCGAGGTGATGGTTGACCACTTTCGTCTGGAGGCGCAGCTGGCAGGCCAGTTGGCAAGCGGTCTGCCCAGATTTCAGATCCCTCAAGGTCTCCAGGAGGTGCCTTTCAACGCCCTGCGTGTTCAGGGTCAGCCCCTGGAAGTTGGAGACGAGTTGGTCAACTCCACCCTCCGGACAAGCTGCAGAGTCACTTGGTTTCTGAGGAAAGGGTGACCGGCTATCCTGACAGGAAGGTCTTCTGGTGGGATCCCTGTAGCTGTACCATACATTCGAACGGGGCGGTGGAATGGATGTTTGTGGCTCTTGGGATCTCCGCACCGTGGGCTTCCGCAGAGGAGCTTCGGAAAGTTTTCCTTGGAGGAAGAGGATCTGCGTTTGACGGAAATCTTCGAGTCTATCGGGTTCAGGTGAGGTCTGGTCTGAAACGGTGTTCCCAGCAAGGAATCTACTCATAGCATGCTGGCGACCGAAGGCATTCTCAGTCGATGTCGAGGAACCTGGCCAAGAGAGAACAAGGTATGCTTCAAACCGGGTTGCAAGACAGCGGCTGCACCTGTTGCGTTGTGGCCTGCCAGCCGGCGGCCCTTCCACCCAGCCTCAACTCCGCTGGCGTTGCAATCTTCCAGACCTCAAGCACCCTGCCAAGCTGGGTCAGAGAGAAGCTCTTTTATGAACATTGACAAGAATCAGGGATTGGTAAGCTATCTCCAAACACAACCAGTTTTGTTCCTTAATTTAAAATAAATAAATAAATTAAATTTCACTGGATTTGGGCTTCCCAAATCTTTCCTTCTTCCCTTGCAAATATTTGTGCTTTAAAAAAAAATTTTTTTTAAAGGACCTGAGAATTGTTTTCTAGCTGGGTTTTTAAGCATCTTTTGGCAATAGTTAAGGATGAACAGAGAATAGTTTTGCTCCCAAAGGGAATGGACTGACGTTTGCTCACCTGGAAGCAAATTTCTTTGGAAATTGAACTTATGGCTCAAACTGGCATTCTAGTGTAGGAAGTTAGCATTCGCCCTTCTCCTAGAAAATTGAAATACCCTAGGAAATATTTAAAAAAAGGCAAAATATTTCCCCTAAAAAGAGTAGAAACTCAAGAGCAGAAACTCATCCCCACCTTTGTTAGTGGGTGGGTCATTAAGGCCTGGGCCAGAATACTTTACATAACAAAGATCTCCAGGTAAAGCTATAGCAATTGCCAAAAGCCCACAGAACTGAACCCAGAAGGATATTTCTTCCAACACCAGCTTGCGTTGTGCCAGACCGAATCGAAGGTCGATCTGGTCTAACCGCTCTGATCTTTGTACAGAGAATTAAAAGAACTTTTGATAGGTTTCTGGTAGACCGCCCTGTGCTTAACTAATTTAACTACTGTTTGTGGAGTGTCATTCACAAAGAACACCAATCTGTACAAGCAGGACGGGACACCCTATTAAACCAAATAGAACACATTTGCATCATCATAACAACAACAACAACACCTAGGATGCTGGCAGCAACCTGTATCAACCATCAAAGCCAATGATATTTGTGCTACATTTTTAACTGTTCAGTTGACGAGTTTCATGTTTAATGAGTAAGTAATAATAATAATAACCACCTCACCCTACAATCACAGCCATCCTTTCTTCCCCAAATCCTATAAAATTAGATAGAACTGCCAAAAGAAACCCCCCAAAACTATTTTTTTACAAATGCACTGTTATTTTTTTAAACGCTTATTTATTCAAGTGGACCAAATCATTGTTAACCTTCTCTCTCACTTCCCCTTTGCAATTCTCAACCATACCTCTCCCTTCTTTATTTGTAAAAACTATTTTTTACAAATGCACTGTTATTTTTCTAAACGCTTATTTATTCAAGTGGACCAAATCATTGTTAACCCCCTCTCTCACTTCCCCTTTGCAATTCTCAACCATACCTCTCCCTTCTTTAATCGAAACCATCAGAGGTCCCTTAAAGGTAAGGGTGTGTACGTGTTTGTGTGTCTGTGTGTGTGCATGCATGCAAAACCCATGCCAAGTGAACAGCAGCGTAAAAAATCGAATCGTAATGTAAAATTCCGGAAATAAAAAAAAAAAACAGAAGTTTACGCCCAGCTGCAGTCGGAAAATCTTTTCAAAATCCCGGGAAAAATCTATCATCTATCTATCTATCTATCTATCTATCTATCTATCTATCTATCTATTGTCTGTCTATCTATCTATCTATCAATCTATCTATTTATCTATCGTGTATCTATCTATCTATCTATCGTGTATCTATCTATCTATCTATCTATCTATCGTGTATCTATCTATCTATCTATCTATCTATCTATTGTCTGTCTATCTATCTATTTATCTATCTATCTATCTATTATCTATCTATCTATCTATCTATCCATCTATCTATCATCTATATCTATCTATCATCTATATCTATCTATCTATCTATCTATCTATCTATCTATCTATCTATCTAT